ACGTCATCAATTCCGAAAAAAAAAAACGCAGCAGCGAGGGGAGTTTAAAAGGACACGTGTTCGGTTGTAATTTGCCTGGAGTAAAATAACATGGGTAATCCGAGCGACTTTAAAAATTATCTTATCAGAAGAACTTTGATTCTTTTTGATAATCATATTAATCAAAACAGAATGTTAAAAGTGATAAGCAAAAATTAAAAAAAAAAAACAATCTTAATAATTTTTGTTCATTAAATTTTTTTTTAGCTGAATCACAAATTTGGGTAAAATCATGGTTTAAGGTTTAATAATTATGTATTATGTAGTACGAATGAAGTTAAAATTGTAAATATTAAAAATTATAAAATTAATTTCAAAATTAATACTTTTTTCTGATAACGTTTTACACCAAAAATTTACTCAAAATTTAACAAATAAAAGACTTTAAATAAATGAATTCAAAGTGATGTATAGTAATTTAAAATTTCAACCTAAAAAGTTCTCACCGTTTTCCTGATTAGCATTTTCTTCTTCGGAAGTTTTGACAGCCTGTTAGTTGTGACAAATAGCCCGACTTATTTTGAAACAAAGTCGCGAATAAATCTAAAAATGCTTTTAATGAAACGTCCGCTGAATAAGTGACGCTCGTTAAAAGTCGCGACGGCATATTGCGAAAAGTTGATCTCATAATTGCTCTCAGCTGATTTATTGGCAGCTGCCGGCAATAATTTTATTGGCGCTCCACCTACCCATCCAACCACCCACGAAACCCGAGCGGCCAGTTGTAAATCATGCTATTTAGTTGCGCGAGTGTGCGCGGTGTTTACTCCCTCCTCGTATTGGCAAAGCTCACACTTTTTGCAACATTTTATTGATCATCGCTGCCGCTCTGACGTTTATTCAACGGGCATTACGCTGGCTAAGCGCATTAGACCGACTGAAATTTGATTATCGAAAGGATAACTCAAAGCTGCATGAAAATGAGGGTCATTTGAAATAACACCAGACACAATTCCAAATATTTCCCCCTTTGAAGTGAAATTCATAGAAGTATGCTGCGAGGGTTTAGATGAAAAATATTTTAAATGGAAATTATTTCAATTCAGAATGCGCGGGTAATTTTATCCAAAATTTAAAATATTTTATTTTATAGAATACTACTTTAGTAACTTTATCGTAAGAGAAATTCACACTAAAATATCATCTTTGTAATGTTTTTTTTTTTAATTTGACGTTACAAAAGATACTTCATGGATTGTGGAATTAGTTTAATTATTAAATTTTACAAATTTTAAATTTTCAAATAAATAATATGAATTAAAAATATCAAAAGTATATTTTTATGTGTATTTAATATAAAATCATGATTTATAATTCTTTAAGTTTTTGTAATACTAAACAATTATGTATAGATGATAACATCTCTAGAGAGAAGATCAAAGATTAATTGAATATCAATAGTACACTCTTGTAATTTTATTATTTTTTAATAAGCTCATATAAATTGCAGTGAATCAGTGCCTTGAAAAAATCTCTACACGAAGAACAATTGAAAAATCTCTGCTTTTCAAAACATCGCCTGTGGCTAAATTTGTGCCGAGTTCCGATTTTTCCCGAGGCCCCCGCACCACCGTACAATGTCCAATTATCATTCTGTGTATTTACATTCGGCGAGGAGCCTTTTTGTTTTTTATCGATCCCCATCAGGTGCAGCACGCAGCAGGAAAAACAAGCTCCGGAGATTCGCGCTTTTGCTGCCCTGGCGGCCGCGCAATGAATTAGTAATGCTGCGCTTGATAAAAAGTCAGCGTCGGCTTTTCATTTTCCGCTTATTTTATTCGCAACAACGCGCCCTCGTGCGCGATTTATTATTTCGCATCCCTCTCTTTTGTATTCGTCGGTGGCAATTTATACCTTGTGGCTGTTGAGCCCATTATGCATTCAGAGTTACACATGCCGCGCACGGTGATGCAAAAATGACATACACCGCGGGCTAAGCCTTTCGCCACGAGGCTTATCATTTGCAAATGAATGCAAAATGTTGTTTTGTCCACAGGAAAACATTGGAGTTTTTACAACGCGTTTTTTTTCTCTTATCAAATTACACTAAAAAAAATGAATTGAAATTGGGCTAATATTCTTTGTTAAAAATAGACTAAACAAATATTAAATATTACGGTTTATCAATTTTCGTAATTAATTTGAGAACCTTCCTCATTAGTTATTAATTTAACTAGAGGAAATTAAGAGCGAAAAAGAAAACAAATTTTCATTTTTATTCTCCAAATTGCATTCTTATAATCCGGAAAAAAATCAGTAAATTTATTCTTTACTACTCCTTTGTAAATTGTATATTGTTGCTTTGTTCATCTTTTTTATTATAATATTCGTTGGAGCGCCAAAATATTATTTGCCTGCCGCCGATGCCGCCGCAGCGGAAGCGAAATCAATAAAAGCCGCAAATCCACAGGGCATCGTTGTGTGCATCGGCCCGGCAGCTTTTCCCCAATCGCGCCGCAATCAGCGTGATTTACCCGCCAATAATCGTAATAATAAACCTGCGATATCTTTCTCTCGCGCGGCGTATTCCGACCGACGATAACAATCGCTGCTTTTCATTCTCTTCGCGGTCGTTACGCAAAAATTCTTTCTTCCTTTCGTCGGCCGCTGATTTATTATAATAACGCGCGCTCTCGGAATAATGCAGCAGATTGGAACGAGTCTCTGGAGAGCGAATGTTTTTGGCTGATTGTTACGCGATTATACGACTGCGCCAAAGTGGATCCTTGTTTTGCGAAAACATGGCAGCCGAGAGCTCTTCACCTCGAGTGTCGCGATTCGGCGTTTCGGATGATAATTTCAGTGCTGATGCATTATTTACTCAAGTGCTTCCAACATATTTTTTGTTGAGATTCTTTTATACTTGCTGCGTTTAAATATAAAAAACATACAAATTAAATATTTAAAAAAAGTTAATTATTAATATTTTACATTTTTTATTAAATAACATACTTATTAAAAATTTTATAAATAAATATAATTAAATATTTGATTTATTTTAATTTTTTGTGTTTTTTTAATTTTACAATTTGTTAAAATTTAATAAACATCGAGGGGCTTATCTAATCTAGTGGTGAAGAGATACAAATATTTTATAAATTAAAATGATTAAAATAATGTGAAATAATAAATTAAAAATAATATTGTTAAATACATGTTTAAGCTGGAGATAGAGCTCTCATTGAATATTATGAAATGTAGTATTATGTTGTTTTTATCTTGCAATGCCGCAGAAATTGAATGATGAAATATAAAATTATTTTTATTTTTAAAATTTATAAAAATAGGATTTTAATTTTTTCATGTCGGAAGGAGACATTTCTAAACTTGTGATCAACTAGATAAATTCAATTCCTCTTGCAAGTAGAAAGTATTCAAAATTTCAATAGAAACTTCAATTACATGTTCATTACGTTATGTACTTATATTTCAATTTGAAATTTTTTTGTATCAGAACTTGGGATATCTGGAACTATTTGGAATAATTGATTGATTGTTGTGGTTTTTCTTTATTCTCTACAAATCCACTCAAACAAGGACGTAATAAATATAAATTTCAAAATAATTTTACGAAAGCAGTGCACTTGATAAAAAAATTATATATTTGAGAAAAAAAATTAAATTAAAAATCTACATAATGAAAGATTGTTTTACAAAAATTTAATTGACCAGGACTTCAAATAAAATCTTAAAGTTGTTAAAAAAAGCAGTGCAATTTTGCGCATTTCACCCCACAATGGAAATCCAGCTAAACTGTGCACTGCGCACGTCTCGTTTATTTTGATTACCGCCAAAATGGTCCAAATAAATTTAAAGATTCAAGTTAAATGCAGCGTGAAAATCTACTCGTTCTTTCGCCCTTTTATTTGGTATCATTTCAAGTGGGGAAAAAAACTTTATAGGACGTTTTATAGTTTTGTTTGGAGTTAATAATTTAGAGAGGACATTCTGCTTTTTGCGCCTGTGCATGTCGGTTTTGGTTTTATGGCGAGGCATAAAGTAGTGCAGGCAGGTCTATGCTGGCTCGGCTATTAAGCCTGCTAATGCGCGCCCGCTGCTGCAACATTGTTCCGAGCAGCCGTTAAGAGCGCCGCGGCAATTCCAACTCATGATTATTGCCCGAGTGAGTGTGTGCATTCAATTAACCCGAGATTACGTGCGTTGCTTTTAATTGCGCGCGTCGAGTTGACGCCGCCGAAACCGGTTGCCGTTCTCACCGAAATTTAGTTCTCACACTTCTATTGGAAATCAATACGCTGTTGACGCCGAAAGCCACCGGCTTTGCTTTTATTTTATAGTTTTCACTTTTAAATGAAAAAAAATTATTTTTAATTGTGTTGAGCTTCTGGGAAATTGCAAGACCAAGCTAAAAATTTTCATTATGAAGTTTCAACTGCGTTTCAATATTGTTTGAAAAATAAAAGATGATAATTTTATTGTCTCTTTTTAGTATGTGTGTGGAATTAAAAGCAATTTTTTTAAACCAGGGAAGTTCTATAAATTATATTAATTAACAGAGTTATGAAAACGGTTTAGTTGCTTCTATTGTTTTCAAGCAAAAAGTGAATGCCATTTTCACAGAAAATTATTCAACATTTTTAATTTCAAAGAATTTAATATTTAACACAAGAAACAAACAAATTGCTCACGGGTACAAAATTGAACCACATTTTAAGGGAGAAAATAAAGCACAAAAACACTGTAACTTGACGATAAGAGTGTAAGAAAGCAGACAATCAGCTAAGGAAAAACGCCTACTTAAAGCCATAGTGATAAGAAAAACCACCTTAATAATGATATCAAGCAGCCGCAGTGCATATGCAGTAGTGCCAACCCCCAAAAAGAATACATCTGGAATAATACGAGATATATACTTAGTCAAACTTTTTATTGATAGTAATTTAATTACAATATTGTCCTAATTGGAACGCGACTGACGAATCCATTTCGTTTGTTTTCAGAATGCTGTCAAGAAGCACTCGGAGAAGCACCAGGCGCGGCACAAAAAGAAGAACCACGTTGTGACTTTGGAGGACGGAGACACGTCGCCGGTGCCGGTCAAGAACTCGAAGGCCAAGTCGGCGGCCTCGGCCACTCCAGGGGCCAACGAGGTTCTGATCAAGAACTCGCCGCAGTCGCGCTTCAACAACCACCACATCATCTCTTCGTCGCTGCACAAAAGCCACGGACCAGCCGTTCCTACCAACACCAATGGCAACCAGGTAAGAATTTTCATTATAAAATAAATTTTTAGTAAAAAGCCAAATTTTTCTAAACGGTTCTATAAATGTCTGAAAAATCAAGAAAAATTTTAAATATTAGATCTGCATTTGTATTTTCAATATTTCAAGCTACAGATTATTTAAGTATTAGGATTATTTTTTATTGAAGTTTTGTCTATTCTAAAGAATGATTAAATAACTAAAACAAATAGAAATATAAATGCTGTGAGATATTTTCAAAACCTTCGTTGGGCCTCTCGGGGGTTTTTCTTTGCAATATTTAACTTGGAGAAAGACGAGATAAATCTCGAAAATTAGATTTCATAAAGACGCAAATTGTCTCTTCCGACCATAATTTTTCTCAATTTTCGCCCCTTCTCTTCTTCGTGCCGGGGTGTTGAAGCCGCCCTTTCTCTCTCCCTTGTTCAGGAAAAAAACTTTCCCCAACTCGAGCAGCACTGATTCATCTCCGGCGTCTCCGTGAAGATGGCGCAAAAAGTTCCTCTTTCTCTCTTGTGTGCGAATGCTGTTTATCCGCCATTAACCGTCCGTAAAGCCGGTGATAAAATCATTCTCACCCCTTTGCTCCAAGAGACAAATCTCCAGCGACTCGCAGCACTTAATTAATTTATCGAAAAGAAAGAAGAAACTTTCCAAGTGGCATCTGGGAATTACTTACTTTTCGTTTGTTCTTTTCTCCCTCGCACTCCGAACTCGCCCTTCTCGATATTGAAAGAGATTTCGATATTCGTAATATATAAAGTTGGGCTTTTCTCCCATGCAAATGCGGACGAAAGATAAAATATTTAATTAAAAACCCATGATACGCAGCCAGTCAGCCGATCGTGAAAAGCTTTTCAATCGCGCTCGCCTTCCTGCTTGCTTAATTCCTTTGCTTGATTTATTCAATAAATTTACATCAAAGCGGCGGCGACTCTTTTTCGCCAGCTCCTCGAAAGCCCCTTGAAAGGAAATTTATATAAATAAAACCAAACCAACCCAGCACCGACCGCTGAGAAATAAAGAGAGCAGTGCCGCCGGTTTCTTGGATGTACATAATAAGTATATTTTCTAACTCGGTTGAATTTTTTTGGCTTTGTGATTGTGCAATAGAGCAGAGTTTACCGATTAGCATACGCAAATTGGATGAAAGCAGATTTTCAGCTTATTTCCTTTGATGATCCAATCGCATTAAGAAGTGTTTCTAGTCACTTGAAATCCGCTAACAAGCGCTTTTGAACAAATTTTTAGAAATAATACATTTCAAACTTTTATGGAATATGTTGCGCATTGATTTTTTTGAAATATAGCTTAAATAACTTTTAATATTTTTAAGCATGTGCTAATGAAAATTGATATTTGTGAAAAATTTATTCTTGCGTTAATTTTTTTATTGTTGATTTTTAACAATCAATGTTTATTAGTTAATTGTGTAAAAAAAGCTTTCAAACATTTAATTAATATTTTTTTTTTAATATTTTATTGTTAAATTTTATAAGTTTTGATATATTTTGTGTTTCATTTTTTTCGTATTTTATGATTTTGTATATTTATTAAAATTTAATATTATTTTTGGTGACTAAATAGCTTAAAAACTCTTTTATTATTTGCGAACTCTATATCCAAATAAATTGACAATAATAAAAAAATAATATATAATATTTATATTATAACTTGCATTTCAATGAGAATAACAATTCTATTACCAGTTTAAACAATACATGCACTGATTGGACGGTTTATCTAGGAAATCATGTTTTAATGTAAAATATGTAATAATTTACAACATTATATTCAAACATATTCAATATTGCTCACTTTACTCGATGCCATCAAATCTCTAAAGGGGTTAACTTTGCTCCCTCATCATCGACACCAATATTTCTGCCGTGCCAATTAAAAAGGCAAATTATACTCGGGCGGTGGTGCCGCCGGTCGCGCGGGTTGCATATCCGCCCATCACATCTCTCACTTGTGCCAAATTACCCGGCTAATCCGGAACCGTTTTTCCGATCGATGGATTCTCGCGTTAATTACAATTTCAATTGCGGCGTCTTAATTACGTACAAGTAACGAGCAAGCGTGGAACAATATTGTCTGCGCCTGCGAGCGGATTTGGCGGCTTCTCTCATTACGGCCGACAAGCTCGTAAAGTCGATCCGGTGTGCGGTGGCTCGACACTCATCCAGCCTGTAATTGAGGCTTTAGAGACTCATTAGCACCGAGATCAATTCATTCGAGAGCGAGTGAGGCTGGCTGCGTTTCGCCTCGGCGCCATATTGATTATTGTCGCCAGAGGGCAGAACGCCGCGCCTCGCCGCAAAAGGTTGGGGTTGACTACGATAGGTGGCATACGATTTATTGCATCACTGGTCCTTCTGCACCCCAGGGCTCGCCCCTTGAGAGCGGCGACAAATGGTGCTGCATCTCAAGCAGCGGCGAAAAGTCGAGCGCCTAAAGTGAGATGTTACGAACGAGGCTTCGCCTCTGCCGCCACCTCTTTTGAATGGCTGCACCCCCCATAGCTAAGGGATGAAATGCAAAATGCAAACATTTTATGAGAAGATGTTTTTATTTAAAATTTTTTCTTGATATTTTACTGTTTTTCTGAGTTAACATCATTATTTAGTTTAGTAATTATAAGTAAAAACTAAATTTACAAATTTTAATAAAAAAACATCTTTCTCATAGAGAAATAGCTTGGTCCAACATTATTTATAATATAATAACTTTGATGTTTTATTTAAAAAAAAATATTTATGATTTTTGGGTCTGTCTGTATCTTTTCCCTAGGAAACAATCTTTCATTTATTTTTAGAACTTGAACTTTTTGAGTTATTAATTTTCAGAAGGAACCAGTTTAGATCAGGAAACTAAAATCTACAGGCATTTAATTATAAAAATGCACTAATGAAACGGCAAAAGTTAACCTGCATTTAATTTGAATACAGTTCTTAAGCTATGAAATTAATTTATTTTTACATCATAACCGTTTTAAGACGAAGATTTAACATTTTCTCATTTTTGTTTCAGGCCAGTTACCCCTCGCCCTACGACTCAGGGGGTGGCAGCAGCACCGGTGGTGAAATTACTAGGATTAATGGTCCTGCAGGGCTGACACCCCTAAAGGACGGCCTGAGGGATGATCGCCTTAGTGATGTAAGTACCTCCATCAATCACAAATCTCCTCCATTAAATCTCAGTCAACAAATCGCCAGGTTGTTATTACTGTTGAAGAGGAAGACGCGCAACCGCAGACCAAAACTCACACACTAAGGGTACTCCTAAATTTGAAAATTACACTTTGGTTTACGTTTTCAATGTCTAAATTAATGAGAGCGGGGATGATTATTGTTTTAAAATTAAATGAATCACGTTTTTTGATGTTTAAATTAGTCAGATTAATATTATATTTTCACAAGTTTTGTGGTTTTTGAACGCAAAAAGCAAATATAATGAAAAAAAAATAGTCTGAAAATTAAAAAAAAGCGTTTATAGTTTGAATAAATTTAAACATTAATCTGTTCACAATTAATTTGAAATTAAATGAGTGTATTTAACCACTTTGATGGTTAATTTATTTAAAATATTCATAAGTTTTATGCGACTCATCCTCCACTAAAACAGGTCGAACAAGCAGTTTGAATGACCCTCACTTACTCACTCACTTAAAGCCTCACACTCGTCTCTCTCCATTGAGGACAGTTTTCAATTTTGTTTGCTCGTGTCAGCGCCTTCTCAAGCGATGCCGATCCGCATCTGCAATGTAAATTTCCGGCTGAAAGAGACATTAATGAAGGCGCCGACTCGTCGTTTTGCATTTAATCGCCGGTCTCCGCCCCTCTAGTCGACTAATTCCGACTTATTTATTTATTCCAGGCCAGCAGCAATGCCAGTTCTGGACGTGGATATATCGTAAGTACCTCTGCCATAGTCTCCTTTTCGACCACTTTGTACGTACAATGAAAAATATCATTCCGTGCATGCATACGTCTCTCGTCGTGTGTTGTTTTGTTGTTTTAATTTATTACGAATTAACTAGTCGGAGTGCCAGCCGAGAGTGCTTGCTGCTTTCGTGCATTCATTTAACTCACTCTCGCGACTGTACATGTTTCAAAACATGTAGCACGGCGCAGATTAAATTCCGCGCTGTGCCGAACGAACAAACACATTTATGGTGTTCGCGTCGCTGCTCGGCATGCAGCGTTAACTTCTTGATGAAATACACAGTAAATTATAGAAAATGGAAATAATTATTTAAAATATAAAAAAATTCAAATAATTCCGATATTTGGGAAATTTGTTTGAAACTTTAATCACGTTTAATTACAAGTTCCAAATAAATTTAATTATTAGCTCAAAACTTACAATTTAATATCAAAGCTCATAAAATTATGCTCTGACTTGACAATGAAAAAAATTTAATGTAATTTTCTTAAACATTGCAAATGTTTATGTGGCATAAAAATATAACAAGAATCTAATTTCTTTTTCATCTGAATTAATTCATAAAAATTGCTTTAAAAAATGCACACCAAATACTTCAAACGATCTCTGTGCAAAATCTTTCCACTCGGAATTTAACTCATTTCCGCTTCCGTGGCCACGCCGCTGCAGAATATAATCGTGTTTTGGTCCCGAGCACGAACCCTTTCGCCTTACACGCATTCTCTTTGCTGTGCACGAACACCGAGGGCTGTTTGTTGTATTAGTCTCGAATTATTGCCGAGCAGAGGCGGAGAGAGAGAGAATAGAGCGAGTTAATGCCGTTACAAGGCAGAGAGAGGCTCTAATGTATTAAGGATTTGTTCTTGCGCCGCCGAGAGAAACATAATGCTAATAACACACCACCAACTCTATCATCTCCCTCTCTGTTTACACACAACACCGGGTAATAATAAACCCTCGATGAGCAACCGCGCTGGCTGTAACCAAATCCGAGGAGGTTGGTCCAGAATTACATTCATATCTGAAGGGCTTTCCTAATCTCGTTTGTTGTGTACTTAATCAGCCGGCTGGAGGAATTGCGTAATGAGCCGCTCTCAATTAATTAGTGGCCTAATTGGGCCAGGATTTTCCTACTAAATTCCCAGCCCCGTGATAATTGCACCGGTTTCGTTTGCTCCTGAGCAAACTGCCGGCCTCGTCTTGCAAATCCGGGAACACTGCGGAATGTTCCACCTCTCGCGCGTGCGGTTAATGCTCTGCATAAACTTGCCACTCTCCTCGTGCAATAATAATGTGTGTGCGTATATACGGGGGTTTAAAGTGGATGGAAAGGGGTAAGTGATGGCCCTCGAGCGCGCAAATTCCTTGGGAAATCAGCGGAGATCAAGTTGGCGGGCTGCCGGGCTCGAGTGCTGCGAGCGACGAGTGATTACGAGTTAATTCCTCTTCAGGGCCGTGGAATTTCGGTTTGAGAGGGAGGTGATCCGATTTCGCCTCGTGCCAAGATTGATGGGCAGATGGGTCGGCGCTACCTCTTGAAAGAAGGAGTTACATGAGATCAAGCAGACAATCAGAGTGGATCTTATTGACGACTTGACAAAGTTGGAAAACTTATAAGTGCGAGTAAATTAAAAGTTTTAAAACATGTTCATATTAAATAATTATATATTATTTAATTTAGAATCAATATTTAATATAATTCTGTATTAAATTAATTTTAAATAAAACTATATTTTAAATATTAAAATTAAAATTTTTAATACATTTAAAATTTTAACAAGAATCAATCAATCAAAGTACTATGACAAGTAAACTTTCCAAAAGTTGCAGTTTATAAAATTATTTGATTTTAATATATTTCCATGAATGTTATCAGAGTGGAATTAAAATTATCATTTCATACCCAGCTCTGATGTTTTTCGATCCGTTAAATACAATTTATAGATAAGTCAAGTCAATAATAAGCGTTGGTATACAAAAAATTATGACGAAAATGCCTACCACATAATTATAAAAAAAAAATTGGTTTCTAGATTGGACAAGTTGCAAAGATTTTATTTAGCGATGTAATTTCAAATTTTCATCATCAAAAAATTAATCAAATATTTCAGTGTAAATTATTGAGTAACTTTCTTATATCAAAAATTAAAACTAAAATTTATATGGAGTTAAAAGAAATTCAGTGAATCTTCTTGTGTGTTAAACTATTGCATCCATCAGATTTACCAAAAGAAGTAAATCCGGCCAAGTAGCAGGGGTGGTGAAACCGAAATTTAGACTGGCACTTCAGTTGTTCGGCTAATCGCGGCGCACCCGACGCGCCGACGGGCGGTCGCCAAGGAAACCACGCAAATTCTTAATTCCGCAACCCCACTTCAGCCCCTCGTCGAGCAGCCCTCCCGCTTTATAATCTCATTCGGCAACGACACGTAAGCCAACCAAAACTGTTTAGTGCGAAATGACACCCGGGCCGGCATCGCCAGCCGCCGCCGCCGCCGCAAACGACGGAAAGAGCAGGCCCATTTTGGCGCGGCGGCATAAAAGCGACGCCGCCGACCGCCACCCACTCGGGCAAAAACTCAGATGATGGCCGCTCGATAATAGAATAGCCTGTTTATGGATCGTATTTTCCACTCTGTGTCGCTTTACGAGCGAAAAGAATACGGACGGCACTAAAGAAATGATGCTCGCTCGTTACACCGCAGCCATATCCTCACAACCACCCCTTTCTTTCTTTCTTGCTCCAAGATAAATAGACACGGCGTCAATTTGCAGTCCTTCTCGTTAATGCGAATTTATGCATTACGATCCAGGCTGCCAGCTGCGCGCCAATTAGCCCTTGTCTCTCCGTTTTTATGGCGTCGTGCGCGATAGTGTGTGGGGGACACGTAATAATAATGTATAAAATTATTATGCAAATCACCAGTGGTAGGTAAATTGCCCTCCACGCCTTGATTGCCATTATTATATCAAATAATAAAGTGACTGCTTTATTACGACAGCCCGTGGTGATTAAGCGCGGAGGCGATGTTGGCGTAATTGAATGATGATAGCGGTCATTACGCCTGAAATATATTTATTGCGCCTTTCATTAACAAAAATAAACTAACCTGCGCTAACTGCGTGTTTCACGCCGCAACGACCATTAATGCGCCGCTAATTTTGACCCTGGTTGATGTTGTAAAATTGTGCTCGCCCGCTTGAAAATTTGAAAGCGATAATTTAAATTTATTTTATACATAATTTGCACTACAAAATATATTTTTGCAACTTTTTTTGCAAGTAAAACATTTGTAAAATTATATTGGGTTAAATTTTAAAGTTTCTGTTTTAAGTTCAAGATAATTAATTTTTATTCTATTTATATAAAAATTTACCAAATAATTTTATTTCTAACACATTATATAATATAAACTTGTATCTATTTCATTAAATTCTTTAACTATTTTAACCTTTAAGGGTATATAAATTTACAGTAAGGAATTGATAATATTGTCATCAATTCACGTGGAAACGTAATAGTCTATTTACAAGATCTAATACCTTAGGAATTATTGAAAATTTTAATCAACAACAAATTAATATGAATTAATAAAGAGAAGAATAAAATATAAAAATCTGAGCCTGGCTCAAACTTCTTACAGACACAGCCAACAAGCGTGATATTTCTTACGATGAGTTTACACAATCATAGACTCGGCAGCCATTTCATTCTCTCCGATTTGTCATGTCGTAAAAAAGAGACTTGGCTCTTGCACCGTAAATCCCACTGGAAACCCAGATTGACCCCCGTTGAAAATTAAAATGCATCTCGTTGCACACGGTGCAGTTACGCGGTCCAGTCTCTTTTTTCCGTTTCATTATTTATTATAATAATAAAACAGCAGCAGGGCGAACTTTACGAGTGCATAAAGCATAAAAAATAAATTGAAAATGAACAGCCAGCGTGTGTATCTGTGTCGTAAAATGTTTGATATGTTGCTATAAAACGTGGCCACCCCACTAAAGCGGCGGCGGCTGCAGGGTGAGAAGACGACACAGACCCTTATTGCGACTCGGCCGAGCCAGCGACTCTGTATACGAGCGAGCGACCGCATAAAAGTTTAAAGCTGGTGATTATGCTGTTTGTTAGAAGGTCTTTTATGGCTTTCTATTTTGCACTCATGCATATTTCATTCTGGCCAGTGTGTGCTGCTTGTTGTTGTAGTGGTAGTGCTACTTGTGTTTGTATGCGGCCGCGCGCTTATCTGCATTCATGAATGTGTTTCCCTTCTCAGTCAAACCAAGCAGCAGAAAGAAAGAAGTAAAAAAAAACCGCAATCCAGAGATATTTTACTGCTCGCCGGAATTAAAAATGAGAAGCAGGAAGCGTGCGAGGATTTATGCAACCAGTCCGTCCGTGCCGCCTAGCGGGTTGCATATGCCGCTTCGCTCCAGGGGTTTTCCTTTCTCAAGCAAGAGTAAAAAGTAAAATCTCATTTGCAATTGATTTTAGTGAAATGAGTGCAAAACCTGGCTTTTGAATAGCTCGGAATGGAACATGATTTATGTTTTGAACGTGAAAATTACATTTCTTTTCAACCCCTTGCCTATAAAAGTGCCACCAAAAATTGAGCAAAGGGTGAATATTTGTTAAAAAAAACATTAATCAACCTCTGAAGCCTGATATCTTTTGAATCAAACCATTTGAAATGCAAATTTCCAATTATTAAAAATTAAAATAAAAAGAGGTTAAATTGCTTTTATCAATATTATTTATGAACATATTCAGTGAAAAAAAAGAATCCAAAAAAATTTGGATGTAAATATCTTTTTAATTCAGGGTGCTAAAAAATATAATAGGTCTGCGAATTTAAAATTCAAACACTCCACAAATTAAAAGGGTTTGGTCTCCCTTAACTTTTGTTGGCAAAATATGTCACGTTTATCTATTATGTGCACCTCACTAATTCCACCTTAATCGTGTA